CACAGACTCCCCAGGCCTGGCCTCTGCAACCTGCGCAAAGCGCCGTTCCCTCGTCCTCGGGTCGCCGCGCCGTGTCCGGTCTCGTCTGGCCCCGACTCGGGTTCCCTCTCCCTTCCGAGGAGCAAAGAACTCTGAATGCCCCGTGCGGCCTGTGTCAAAGGGTCCACTCTGTAAGATTTCCCTCAGCTCTTCGCTGCTTCATCAGACTCCCCAGGCCTGGCCTCTGCAACCTGCGCAAAGCGCCGTTCCCTCGTCCTCGGGTCGCCGCGCCGTGTCCGGTCTCGTCTGGCCCCGACTCGGGTTCCCTCTCCCTTCCGAGGAGCAAAGAACTCTGAATGCCCCGTGCGGCCTGTGTCAAAGGGTCCACTCTGTAAGATTTCCCTCAGCTCTTCGCTGCTTCATCTGAGCCTGCTGGCACCTAGGCACCCTGTCTTAGGGAATAAATCCACTTAGACAATAAATCTGCTCACGTGTAATGGAGGTTAATCTCCACCTTGTCACAGCCTCTGGAGCACCGAGCGCAGAGCCTTGTGCTGTTAAATCTGCGAGCAGCGCAGTACGACCAACCCTCCCTCGGTTTTGGGTCTGCGGAATCGATCATATTTGAAAACATTGTATCTTCACTGAGCTTGTACAGGTCTTTTCCCCACAATATAAGATTTTCCTTACAATATAAGATACAATGTAAGAGCTGTTTCTGCATCAGCTACACTGTGTCGGGTGCGAGTAATCTAGAGAGGATGTACATTAGTATGCAGAAGCGCCCAGTCGACTGTTTTAACAACCCTCTGACTAAAACCTGTGCGCCTGGTTTGGGAACCACGGCTCGCACTTCAAGAAGCGGGGGAATCACTTTTTTAAAATTTCAGCTTCGTGGCACCTGACAATTAAATTGGATGTTCTCTATGGCTGGGTGTGGTGGTACTGAAGCTTTGTAATCTCAGCACTTCGGAGGTTGAGGAATGAGGATTCCGAGTTAAAGTTCCACCTGTGTGATTTATCGAGGTACTCATTAAATTTTATTTTAAAATAATTTTTAAAAGGGCCAGAGAGCCGGAGGGCACACGCCTGTAATCCCAGCACTTGGGAGGCTAAGGCAGGAGAATCGCTGTGAGTCCGAGACTAGCCTGGGTTACATAGTGAGTTCCAGGTCAGTCTCAACTACATAGTTGCCCCGGTAAAAGGGGGGGGGGGGTGCAGAGGTGTTGCTCAGTGACAAGACCCTAGCCTCAATCCCTAGTATAAAAACAATAAAATCCCAGTGGAAAATGCAAGCTTCTTGAGTGCATGAACTACGTCTTTCTTGTCTTTGAACCTCATACCCTGTCTCCTTACCTGAGATTATCGCCTTTTCCACTGCAAAGAATCCCTCACACCTGAAAGATTCTGATTTGCCGGACTTGGGGTGAGGCTGGGAAGTGAAGTTTTGAAAAACGTCTCTATAAGAACTCATTCCCAACAGTCTGTAGGACAAAGTGTGATCTCCCGATGTATTATTGTCTACCTATCAGTGATAGATTGCTAACAACAGTGATCCTCAGTCCACCTATTGTTTTCCACTCCCTCGTGTAGTCCACTTCTTTGCATGTGACTTCCTTTGGCCCATAAATGAGACATAGCAAGCCTCATCTGGTGTCTGCTTGTCACAGCTTACTGTAATGTCTTCCTATATTATTTATGAATATTCAATCCTGTTACATATAAAGTAGCAGCAAAAGCTAAAATGTGGAAGCAAGTCACTTATGAGAAGTATTATAATGTTGAACATAAACAAGTGATAGTACCTCTTTATACAGAAAGGGGTGGAAAAACAACTTTAACATTAAGGTGGCACAGCTCATACTACCTCTAGGTGGCCAGCTATGCCACCCTTAAACTGGAAACTTGTTAGTGACACTCATTGTAGCCCTTTTATGGCCTCATACTGTCTCTGCTCAGGAAAAGTGATAATCCCAAAAGACCCAGACTGCTAATAACCAGCTACATTTTTGACAAGATACAGTTGCCCCTTATCTCTCCAACAAAGCAGATGTATGGTGGGTGTTATAGTTCAGATCTAAAATGTCCCCAAAGTTCTCCTATGTTCATGGGTGGGGTTTTGTTAGGTGATTGGGTTGTGGAGGCACTATAGTCAGCAGTGGAATCATCCGTGGATGAGTTTACAGCTGCATATGCTGTTAGGAGGTGTGGCCTGGTTGGAGGTGTGTCACTGGAGGATGACCTGGAAGGTTGTATTGTCCCAGCTCTTTCTCCACCTCCCACTCCCCCCCCCCACCCCTGGAGTAAGGAGCTTTCCTCCACCGTGCCCTTTCTCTCTTGGTGCCAGCCAAACATGGACTGAACCCTCTGGAAATGGGAGCCAAAGAAAGAAACCTTTAAGTTGTGGGTGTTGAGTAATACGTCTCAGTGACAGGAAAGATGACTAATACAATGGGATCAGGCTTCTGCACTCTGCTGAAGTCTTGCTTACTCTCTGTTTTGATCCTTATATTCTGCGGAGAAGACTAGCATAGCAAAAAAGGACAAAACACATGAACTTTGTATGAAACAGAATTTAGGTGCTGTTCCTTCCAGCCTGTCCTAAGCTTTTATACCTACCCTGTCTCTTGCCCTTGCTTTGCACCTTGTCTTATATCTGTTGGTAAGCCATTTTGGTTATTATTGCTGCTCTTTGATTGAACACATCACACCAAAGCCTTCAAGGCTTAAATGGTTTTTATGATCATAATTTTATGACCCAGAAATCTGGAAAGAGTTTGCTTCGGTAGTTCTCTTTAAAGTCTCCTGTGTAGTGGCAATCAGATGTGAACAGAACCTGCAGTTCTCCTGGGCTGGACAGCCTAGATGGCTCACTCATGAGACAGTTGACACTGGCTGTTGGCTGGCTGGCCTCACAGCCCCTCTGGCATGCTGAACTTAACACCTGGCAGCTGGATTCCCCAGAGCAATAGTCTGAAAAGAATCAGACTCAGAGCCTTTACCCATTTATCCTTAGGAGTCATGCAACTTGATTCCATTATATTCTACAGGCTAAAATGCACGCTAGCCCAGATTTGAGGGCAGCTTATAGCTCTCAATGGGAATAATGCCAAAGACTTTGAATGCCTGTTTTTGAATTGCCATATAGGCGTCTTGATTTGGTCTGTATGCTTATCTGCTTCGTGACCTGTGGGAAAACCAGTCTGGTAGTATACTTAAGGTTTCTGTGCTTCCAGGTAATTTCCATGTGACATTTGCCCTTTTGGAATACAGCTCCCATGTAAAGGAGTCTGAGATATCTTCCTGGAAAGACCACTTGGACAAGGGAGCCCCAGATAACTGCTAGACGTGTGCCCAGTTGTTCCAGTTGAAATGACATCATTGCAAAGTTGTTACAAGCATTAACTCTGGACCCAGACTGACTGGATTTGAGTCCTTACATTACTGTTTATTAGCTATGTAACTGCGAGATAATAAATCGCCCTTTCCATGGCTACTCATCTGTTTGATGGGGATAAGATTATGGTATTCAGTTTGCTAACCTGTTAAAAGAAATATAGGCCTGTGCTTTATAGGGTTACAATGAAACCAAACACTTAAGACAAGTAAAGACAGTATCTGACACATAAGTGTTCAATAAGTAGTAACTATCATTATCTAATTCCCATAGACCTCTCAAATCTCTAGGGTTATATGTTTGGACCCTAATTTGAGAAATCCTTACCTACCCATTGGATGTAGATTACTGGATCCTCTATTTTCTTTCTCTGAACAACTGAATACCCTAAATATGAATAAAGAGAAGGTGAGGAAGGGAGGATTTGGGTTCTTTTCTGGAGCTGTGGGGAAGTTTAGGATAAGGCAGGTCCAGATATACAAGGCCAAGAGGAGGCTCTGAGGAAATATAAAGGTGCAGAAGAGGTAACACTAACAGCCTGGAGAAGTTTGCAGAAATGGGAGAGGGAGGAAGCCCAGGAGGCAAGCTTGGCCTGCATTCAGCCCAGCCTGCGCTTGACTTTCAAAAATGACAAGCATCTGCCTTAGTTAATAATCAGTCTCCTCCTCGTAAAAAATTGCTGCTGATGCATCATTCCATAGTAGGCTGCGCCATATAAATACCCTCCAGACTTCCTGGCATTGATGTTGCTGTCTAGGCATAAGGCTGCTTGCTGTCTTACCACTTACAGTGTTATGAAACAAGCTGTTGCTGTCCTCTGTGAAATTCTTGAAATTGTTAATTTACTTAGTGAAAACTTCAGTTATTTCTTCTCTTCACACTATTGCAGTTTCCTTATTGCACCTCTCATTCACCAAGTTCTTGCTTTAGTATGTTCAACCCAGAAGGCCTG